TACCTGATTATTAAAGCTTTTTTGTTTCAACTTAAGTAGACATTTGCTTATACATTAACTGTACTGAATTATCCTGTCATGTTGGCTAGTCATCCTTTCACATCACTGCATCCATTATTTGGGCTTTTAGGGTTGTCAGGCCCCCTTGATGATCAAGGTAATTTTAAGTTCATCTCCAAGTACTTTGATTTTAATAAGAAAATATTTTTGTCTTTTTGTTTCCAGTTATTTATAGCACAAAATTATATAGATTTTTCAAGTACATTGAAAACAGAGATGTGGCCAAATCAGTTTTGAAGGAGAGGGGTCTTAAGAAGATTAGATTGGGAATAGAAGGTAAGACATTTTCATTATTTTCTGTTAATTTTCTTTTGGAAAAAAAAATTAAAAATCAAATCCCATTTAGAATATAGTTTGAGAAATGCATACTTTGTGAAAACTCAAATGATGACTGAATGAATGCGCATGCAGTAGACCTATAAATAACAAAACTTCCTTTATCTGAAAAGATAGCCATTAGAAATTATTATTTATTCCATAAGATCCCCTAACAATAGGGAGAAGTGAATTTGTCTTTTCTGCCATAGGTCATCACCTGATGCATTTTTGCCTGAACCCAGGTAGTGTGTTTGGGCACACGTGTACACATTCCCGTGAGATTGGCAGGGCTCTTTGCCCATTAGTGATTGTTGGTGTTCCTCAAAGCCCAACAGAGCTAAAAGTATCTGAAAATGGATGTAGAAGCATGTTAATAGCTTACTGGTTCTTAAGATACTTAGTTTCAAATTAACTAATTTTCAATTTAAATACAGATTTCAAATTTAATTTCAACTTTTTGAATGCATACATTTTTAGATTACTTTTACTTTGTGATTTAAATGGATTTTTCCATATGCCGCGTCAGATACTTCTTTTATTTTAAAGTGTCCTTACTAAGAACAAAGTATTTCCCTTGGCATAACGTGGCATAGTGTAAAGATTAAAGGTTCTGGAGCCACATAACTTGTGTTCAAATCCTGTGACTGAATAACTGTATGACCTTGGCCCGGGCACTTAACTTCTCTGTGCCTCAGTTTCCTCATCTAAAACAGGAGCATGAATAAGGATTATTATGACAGAATGAACTAATACATGAAAAACACTTAAAACAGGGCCTGTCACATAGTGATTTATCAACATATGTTTGTGATGCTGATAATGAAGACAGTGGTGTTAATCAATGACCAATTGAGCTGTTGGGAGATCACAGTAATGGGCTGCTGAGACATAGGAGAAAGAATGAACAGAAATAGGATCTTGGCAGGAAGGGGAAGAGACTTTGGGTTTAAAAACATAGTGGAATTGTTGACACATTAGCGTCACCAGTGTGTGTTGTCTTGTGTCATTTTGTAAAGAGTGGTATTTAGCTGTTTGATGTCAGAGCTAGAGAGAAGGCACCTGGAAGCTACTGCAGATTAGGAGGATGAGGAAGGCCTCTCTCAGGCAGAGGTATTTGAGCTGAAGCTTGATGACAAGTAGGTTGGAACCAGCTTGTAAAAAAGCCTTATACATTATGTGAGGGACTTTGGACTTTCCCTTGAAGCATGAGGAAACCATTGGTAGTTTTCAAGCATTTTAAGTAATACGATTGATTACACTTGTATCAGAGTGGTGATTCTGTGTGGAGGACAGATTGGACTATGATGAGGTGGGAATTTTAAAGACTAATAGTCGAGGAGTGTCTGCCTGAAGTTCAGGTCATGATCCCAGCGTCCTGGGATTGAGCCCTGCATCGGGCTCCTGCTCCGCAGGAAGCCTGCTTTTCCCTCTCCCACTCCCCCTGCTTGTGTTCCCTCTCTGTGTCTGTCAAATAAAATCTTCAAAAAAAAATTTAAAAAAATTAAAAAAAAAAAAAAAGACTAATAGTCTAAGAGGAATCAAGGACCAGGGAATGGAGCTGGAGACCTTTCTGTCTCTAGTGCTGCCCTACAGATGGTAATTGACTGGAAGTGTGAAACAATACATTCTACAGAGGGTCTTTAATACCTTTTTAGCCCTGCTTGCCCCTGAGCCCCCTTACCTGAACCACATACATACAGGTCTTTCTAGTTTTTTCTGATTCTAATACAGTCTGTAGCCCATGAGCCCATTGCCTGCACCCCCCACCATTGCCTGTTTTTTATAAAGTTTTATTGGAACATAGACATACTCATTTATGTATTTCTGTGGCTGATTTCACTTTACAGTGGCATAGTTTACAAGAGAAGCTGAAAATGAGCCTGAAATATTTACTATCTGGCCCTTTACAGAAAATGTTTGCCAATCCCTGGTCTAAACTAGCAATTCTTGCTAGTAGGAGGGACGGATGGGACTTATAATAGTTTCTAAGGAGTATATATCGTTGGAAAAATTGCCTTACTGGTAAATGACTGAAACTTTTCCCAAACTAGAATTGTCTTCACTAATTGTTACTTTTCAGTAATTATCCAAGAAGAGGAAGGTATAATTAATCAGGGGAAGCAGCTTTGGAATTGCCAATCTGAATGAACTGCTTGGTTGTTGGGAGTAGTGTTAAAATGATAAAGGGCTTAAAATATTGGCTTTGCTGATCTAGGTGCAGAAGTATACCTAGAACCAGTGAAGCTGGAGAACTCTATAGCTCTTTATCTTTTAACAAAAGAAAGAAAGAAAAAACCCAAGGCAATATAAAGATGAGATTTAGGTTTAAGGAAATTAGAAGGCTAATATAGCAATAAATTGCAGGCCTCGAGACCAGATAATCCTGTGAAGGGAAGGGTTCAGGGATATTAAGGATACACAGATAGAGCCCAAGATGCACCAGACTACCCACCATTGTATTTAGGACCTATCCCCTCCATGTTTTTACTTCAAGAATATTTTTCTGGTGGTTGGTGTATTGAGTGGCTGAGAGGATGGTGGAAGCTTGTGTGAATTGCATCAGCAGGATTTCTGTGTCTGGCTGTTGAACTGATGACCAAGGAGATGGAATATTGGTTTCCTTTCTTTGTTTTGTTTGTTCAGGAACTACAGCTGGAAAGCCCTCTTTAGGCTAACTTGGGTGAGAAGTGTGCAGGACTGTGTGCACACTCATGTATGTGTGTATCCTCAGTTTTTAAAACTTTTCTCTCCTCCAGGTTATCCTACCTACAAAGAAAAAGTAAAGAAGAGGCCTGGGGGCCGCCCAGAAGTGATTTACAACTATGTCCAAAGACCCTTTATTCGAATGTCTTGGGAGAAGGAAGAAGGAAAGAGTCGGCACGTAGACTTTCAGTGTGTAAAGAGTAAATCTATCACCAATCTTGCAGCAGCTGCCGCAGACATTCCCCAGGACCAGTTGGTAGTCATGCACCCAACTCCACAAGTGGATGAGCTGGATATTCTCCCTATCCATCCCCCTTCTGGCAACAATGACCTCGATCCTGATGCACAGAATCCGATGCTGTGATGCCGATGTCCCTTGAAACCATAGCATGCTCTTCACGGTGACGCTGCACTCTGCACATTCTGCACTGCAAGGCTGCTCTCTTCATCGTGAGATGCACATGCCAATGTTTAGGATATTGCAGTGTAGGCTTTTTTAAAGACCAAAGGTAGCTGAATGGTTTTTTTAAATGAGTACAACTCTAGCATCCTGAGGTTCCAGTTATATAAATGTATTTGTTTACCAGTAGGTTTGTGAAATTGGTTCTTTGTATGGGGGAACAGTCCTTTTTCACACATCTCGATACTTTCAGAAGTGGTGAAAATTGGCAGCTGGGGTATTTTCAGCTTAGATTGATACTCATCACACCCCAGATAAAACGTAGAATATTACATAGTTGCACTTTATAAATGGTGGTTAAATGGAACTGTTCAAGCCATTTTTATAGTTGTGATGCACAATATAACTGAAATAAGTGCTTCTATCAAAGTATTCCTTCAGTAAAATGTGTATAGTTTGCTGCCCATGATGGGCAAAAAAAGGAGTATTTATCATTGGGCTGATTTGAATGATTTGGAGGAGACCCAATGCCCATATCTTATTTCTCTCCAATGCTGTTTTTGCCCTTTTAGAGTGAGTCACATGCAGGAAGTGTGAACATCAGAGGTGGTTTATTATCCAGTCTGCCTTACCCTTAATCTGTTCAGATATTTATTTACTAATTTTTTTTCCTTAAGAGTTATGGGATAGGAAAATGAAGTGTTTGCTCTTCATTTACTAAATGATTGTAAACTCGAGTTTTTCATCAAAATAAAATTCCACTGTTTTAATGTTTCTGATCAGCTTTATAGACACCTTGACCAGATCCTTAGTCTCATAATTAGCAGGTTCCCTGTCTTGTTGGTATCAGTATAACTAGAAACCACCGAGTAGCTCATGGAACTCCCGATTTGGTTTGTGTGTGATGAAGCACTTAGATTCCCTGCAAATCCACAGCAGTGTTTGAAAAAAGAACATTTTCTAGTCAAACCTAAGAAGAAGGGTGAAATAACTTTACTGGGTTATAGGATAACCTTAAGTGTCAGAACCAATTTCTGACACTGGTTCAGTGTTTTGTGCATTATACTGTGCTGCTTTTCTAAGCAAACTATTAGTGCAAATGCTTTTAAAAAAAAATACTCTGTGGCCCAACTCAAGAAGGAAGTGGATGGAAGTACTTAGGTGCTTTGGGTCCAGGGTCACTTAATGTGTGAAGCCACACAACCGTGAGCAGAGAGGAGTTGTAGGAAAGAAGCCCATTTGTTAGAACTAATCTTGAATTTGTAATTTCATAGGATTTGAAATTTGTGGTTAAGCAGTAACATCACTGTATTCACATAAAATTGCAATAATTTGGATAACTATTTTAACAGTACAGCTAAGCTAACAGGGAAATTATGTTAAGTCCTGGAACGGTTATCGAAGGCCAGAAAGGCACTGTAAATGTTACTGGCATGGATTGTCCTGAAATAGCCATGGTAGAAAACTGGTCCAGCCCTGCAGCACAGGGATTTTTTTTCTATTTGAAATGTGAACAGTATTTATAGAACAAGGGAAACATTTATTAAAAATATTTAACTGTCTAATACATTATACTTTAACCCATATTTATAGTAAAGGATTCTTACAAGGAAGAATAAACGGCTTTATGATACAATTAGTATAAGAAATATCCACATGGGGGACTTCTTTGTAGTGTAAAAACACCATACATCTGAAATGACGATTTGCATATAAAAGCTACCAATGATGCTTCTGTGCACGATGATTAAAAAATTCAACACAAACAGAATTCAAAATATACAATTAATGCAAGCTATCCACAGCTAGCCCAATAATCGATGATGAAGACACACTGGAGCAGGCTTAGTTCCACTTTGTCTGAAGTTACACATAATAAGATTGACTTGTATCAATGGCTCTGAGATGGCTCTTATGAAGACAGTACATAAAAGCTGTTCTCTCTTTATCCAGTAAGCTTCACAGACTGTAAAACTCCACCAGTAATGCACTTTGATACTGTAGCTGTTGCCAAAGCAACATGTAGTGTTTACAGCGGCCATGGCAAGTCGCTGAAGTCGACAGGACCACCCAGCCCAGCATCTGCTTCCAAGAGACTCATTATGACAGCCATCGCTGCTTCGTCATTACTGGGGCTACTTGAGCCTTGGTCGTTTTCTATCATGTCTATGCCTATGTGAGGATTCTCGCCTGCAGGGGGAGATGAAGACCGGTCGGTCAGAATACCAGAGCATGTTTAACTTTAGCAAGCAGTTCCTAAGCACACTTTTAATAAGTACAATGTTCTTAACAGGAAGGTGGGAATGGCGGGAGAGAATGCTTTTGGGGCTGCATTGCCAGAATATATTCTCTTTAGAAACAAAGTGCTTAAAATGCAATAAATATTAAAAGCATTGGAGTTGACCTCATTTTGATATTCTGACAAAACCAGTTACAAGGAGGGAGATTCGAAAGGAAAGAAACAGGAAGGTAGGGATTAGGGGGGGATAAAAAAAGTCCAGAAAGACAAATAGCAAACAAGATGGGTGAGATGGGAGAAGCCGACTCTACCACTTCTAATACCCGCTGAAATACTTACTGATCATCCTTCCAGGCTTTCTCTCTGAACCTTCAGCAGCTCTCCCAGTGAAGAGCTGACGGCCCCGGTGGGGGGAAGAGCCTGTACGTATCTAGGCTGCTGGAGTCTCCTTTTGAGTTCCAGGGACAAACCTGGAGGCTCCCTCCTCCCCCCGAACTCAACCATTAAACTCTGAAGATTTAAACCGATTTTAAACCTTTAAACTTAGTTTTTATTCATTCAGTTCTTAAAACTAACTTTATGCCAGACGTTGTGCAAGCTCATTGTAGTGGGAAGGAGGGATACTGCTACTCACCAAGAATAGAGGAGCTATCAGAATATGGATAACCCGGGTTTTCCTGAGCCTGCCCGGGCAGTAGGCCACTGGAAGGAATGTCTGGAGTCCCTCCATTTAAAATCTACAAACAAAAGTAAAGATTTCATATCAACAGTTTCAACCAGTACTGTACTCAAGATCATCAAGAAAATGAAGCATGCTGGAAAGGTAGGGGGAAAGTGTTTCCTATTGGAGGATTTCAAACCAGAAACTGTTAGGAATGGTCACTGTAAGAAAAACCTCTTCCCAAAGTATTCTCTATAATTCAGCCCACACAGGCACTTTAAAGGCTGAATGAAATCCCTAGAGCATTCGACTACCTTGGATCACCTTATTCACATGATTAAGGCCAAGGACTAAATTACCTTGGTGAGCTGATTCGATTTCAGGAGAGGCAGTGATTTCAGATCTTGCCAGTAGGTGGCATTACAAATTTGTTTTCCCAGTCCAGCTTTCTGGTAGGGAAACCTTTAAGAATTGAGAACTCCAAAGAACTTTTGTTTATATGTATTTATCAATATTTACTATATTTGAAGTTAAAACTAATAATTTTTAAAATCTAAAACAGATGTTAACATGAATAGCACTTTAATGAAAAATAGCTTTTCTAAAATAGCAAAAAAATGTCATTTAAAAAAATTTTTTTGCAAATTAAATGTCTGCCTTAATAGGATTTAACAGGATTCTCATTTTCTTCGGTCTATTTAGATGTCTGATTGGAGTATATGAAGGAAATCAGGTATGTAGTTGGGAAAGGGAGGTCCTTTTTAATAGCTTTCTCAAATAACTTTGGTAGTCTTTGATATTACATCAAAACCCAACAAATGGAAGTTTCTTAAAGATAAGGTGCAGTGTGGAATCGGAAACCTTATCAATGAAATTCTTGTACTCTATTATATAAAAATCCATTGGTATACATTTGCATGATTTTGAAGTATCTTGCTGCAGTGGTCATTTGGAAAACACTTGCTGATGTTGACACATTTCATTATAACTCAAAACATCCCCATTGCTAAAAGTTATTTCTGATGGTGAGGTAATAGTAAGTTTTGGGAAGCTGTTGAGTTCAAAGATACAAGTTTTCCAAAAATTCTAATTTTTGCTTGAAAGCTAAGTTTTATCATGGGCAACAAATTCTGTCAGCTGTCTTCCTTAAACTCACCAGTTCATTCATTTTCAAGAAAAAAAAAAAAGTATGCTAAATACCCAAGTCTGAACAACCATAGTTTGCAATAGTAAAAATGGTGTCCTTTGACAGAAGCAGTTCATTTAGCTCATAACTTAGCCACGCGGGTACTTTTCCTTGAGACGACCATTGTACTTCAGTGTGCAGCACAAGTGCTTTACGCATACTTCCCATTTTGTAACCTTGTTAGAAAGATTTACTCAAGGATTTTTATAAACTACTTTTACTGCTTATTAAGGATATCCTTAAATGAAACTGGCTTGAAATTTTTTTTTTTATTGTGAGCATATGGTGAGGAAGACTACACGGACTACTAGTCCTGGTTGGTGCCACTGCCATGATTTTTCCCAAAGCACCAGCAGTTTTACCCAACGCTGCTTTTTGCACTATTAGTTCATGTATCAACACAGAGAAAAAAAATTTTTAGATTATGAAAATAATTTTGACCTTGCAGATCCCTGAAAGGATCTTGCCCCCCTCAACACCAGGGAACTGTTGCTTTAACCGAACCTGCCTTAGTGCCTCTGGATGTCCAGACTCCTGGAACCTAGGAGGTGCACTTAGAGCCTCACTTTTTTAGCTTGACCCTGAATGAAATAACGGTCAAGCTACATGGCTCATTTTTGGACCTGCTCAATTTAAAAGTGACTGGAAGGGCTGGAAGCATGGGGCCACCTTTACTCTCCTGGCTTTGGTACAATGTGCTGCTGTCCTTTCTAACTCCTGTCTCGTTTAAGCTGCTCTTACGAGTCCTGTTGCTGAGGGTCAGAATGTATTCAGAGTTTTTTTCTCTCAGATCCATTTTTATAAGCCCCAAGAAAAAAATTTTTCCATTAATGCCTAAAAAATACTTGGGGCTTTGTGACGTAGAGTACAGTATTAGATCTCTGAAGTTGTTGGTGTGGAAAGAATCAAAAGTCAGAGAGACCTGACTTTAAGTTTGGGGCTATACTTGTTAAATGATTAGCCCAGCATTTACTATTTGGGAGCTTAGATTTTGCCACCTATAAAGTTGTGAGGCTAAGATGAGAAAATGTACATAGAAGTTCCCTGAGTGATATTTAAGGACTATACTGGCGTGATAACCTTTCAAAACAGAGTAATGGGATTCTTGGTAATACCAGGAAGTCAAGTGCCTAAAAGTTGAACTGAGAAGCAGAGAAAGGGATACCACCCCAAGGAGATGGTGGATCCAATATGGAGGAAGGACCTAGGGATGTAACAGGAGAACAGGCCTAAGAGAAAAACCTGTAAACAGGGATTGGGGATGTACCAAGCCTAGGCTTTTATCTGTTGGCGCTATCTTCTGAGTCATTACCAAAAGCCAGGCACTTTCACATATATTACCTCATAACAGGACTTCATATGCAAAGATGCTGAGTGTCCTAACCTATAGGAGCCCTGTTATAAAACAAAACTAGGGCTAAATAATTATACAGGGTCATGGCAAGGCCAGGCTTCAAGCCTAGGTCTATCTTTCACTGATCACTCTTACCCATTAATTTATTGACTTTGAAATCTTTAGTGGGGGTTGAATCAAAACTTATTTTCAAATAGAAATTTTTACAGCAGATTGCTGTATATAATAGAGCCACCCTGGGAGAAGCAGGAGTCCTTGCCCTCTCTACTCACCAACCACCCTTGCCCCATCCTACCTGGTAGCACCATAGCTCCTGGTAACCTGAGCCTCAGAGGAATGCAGTTTCCTGCTTTTGATACAATTTGTGTTCTAGGAGTCCTGTCTATGTAAATTACAATATTCTTTCTCTCTGTATGTTTTGGGAGGTAGGGGAAGGAAGACTATGTCCAAAGATTTCTGGATCATTCTAACCTGTATTACCATCAGGCACTACAGATTTATGATTTACAATTAACATGGCTCTACACTTGCATATTCTCTGGCAAAGATGAAAACAGATGAGTGGTTTCTAAGCTTATTGATGGTGTAATCTTCTAGCCAACTCTTCATGAGGGCTGGCGACTGATACAGTCCTTGTCCACAGTGCCGTCCTATCACAGGAAACCCAGGCAGCAGACCCCCCACGTATTCTGCAGCTGCGAAGGCATGGCTTGCCCTCCAAAGCACCAAAGTGCTCCTGCTTAGTATTACCATTTCCCATGCCTGCACCAGAGACTAGTGATATTTTCTCCCTTGAAAATTCTTGGCAGCGAACTAGATAGTTTTTTTCTGTGAGGTACTCACTAATCCTTCCTTCATGGGAGCTCTTGAATTGCTCCCTCAATGCAATGGCCTCCCCATTCCTTAGAACATTCTTTCTGCCTTCCCCTATTCACATGGAATAAATCCACTATGGATATCAGCAAGCCTCTCTAGCTCCACCCAAATGCTTTATACCTAAACTCACCCAGATGCCTTTACTTAAAAGAGTCCAACTTGTTTCAGCAACCACAACGGTAATCACATACTCCCACCCCCAACATTTCAGAACTTGGGCAAGAGGCTCTCTGGATTAAGAAGGACCTTAGTCTAAGAGTCATCAGCCTTACCTTCTTGCCTCCTGGAGAAGAGGCATCAGGGGGAGGTGTACTTGTGATGTTTAATGGGCTGGAGCCACAACTGGAAGGTGAGGACCCTCTTATTCTGTCAGAGAAAAGAGGAGTTAGTTGTATTGCTTTCCTTTTCTTCAGTGGGGTGTTAGGGGTGGGGGTGGGAAAGAAGGATGAAGAACTCGAATAGGGACTGGCAAACCTTCTGGAAAGGGCCACGCAGTAACTGCCTAGGCTCTGTAGGCCAGAAGGTCTTGATCCCAACTGCTCAGCTCTGCCACTGTAGCTTGAAAGCAGCCACAGACAATGTGGAGATGAATGGGTGTAGCTGTGTTCCAATAAAGTTATGTTTACAAAAACAGGCGAGGAGCTGTTACTTATCCCACAGGCACCTGGTCTAGACTGCCGTCCCTGGAGTCCAGCATCTCACTGGCAAAGCCTTGGTTTCGGGTTTGGATTTCAGGTCATTGAGTTTCAAGTAAGTGGCCAGTTTCATTCTTACAGAATCCAGATCTCAGGGTTGGAGGGGACTTGAGAACTTCAACCTCTATCTTTGAGACCATAAACTAGAAACCACAGCAAGTGATTTACCCTATCCCCTACAGACACTTTTCCACTAGTGAATACTCTTAGGAAATGGAAGGTGCTGGGGTGGCTCAGCTACACCTGGAAAGTAGCCTCGCAGGAGGAGGAGGAGGGCAACTGTTCCACCGCCTTTGAAAGCAACAGGCGATGAACAGCGGGTCCAGGCCCTCTCAGCTAGTAGGTTTCTCCGCATAGGAGATTAACAGAGAAAGTCTTAGAACTGTAAACCCGCACACACGCTCGTCAGGCTGAGGGAGCTCAGGAAAGGAAGGAATGGCCTGGCGGGGAAGCCCGCGTACGGTGGCAGCTGTGTGACCACCAGGCCCTTAGCTTCTACAGGGACGAATGCAGCTTCCGGGTTCCCCAGGCGGCCCGCTCCCAAGTGCTCAGCAGTCCTCTGGCCATTGGCCTCTGCTGCCTGGTTCTGTAGACTTGGGAGTGAATAAGCTTTCTCTCTCCAGGATCATAAGCTCCTCAAAGGCAGGATACAACTATATGCCATGCACTCTCAGCGCACACAGATGGGTACTAATCACTTACTAAATTGCTGTCTCCCATCTTCCTTTACTTATGTCTAGGAAACCACTATTTTCCTGGGTTTCCCATCTTGGCATTGCCTTTTCATTGTTACTTCATCTTCTAGTCCTTCAATTACTGATTTTTCTTTGCGACAGTATCATCACTGAGGGATGGGCCTCATTCCTGGGTTATGAAGCATGTTCACCTTCATCTCTTCCTATTCCAATCCAACTTCCATATGCTTATTAGCATTAACATAATAATGTTATTAACATTTTGGACATCTGTTCAGCATCCTACAATGAATGGGGTCTTACAATTTTTTTCCTGTCTAAACTTCTTAGCATTTTTTATTAGGATTCTTAGCAATCTCCCTTCCTTGCTTCAGCTCACACACTCTCCCTTTTTTCTATTATCATAAAGAAAACAGACTTCTCAACCATCGTAAGATCCTTGAGGTCAAGGATGGTTTTACACCGTTCTTGGATGGTTTCAAGCAAGGCACAGAGTATGTCTATAGTGGCCAGTAAGAATCTGATTATCACTGCACACTGCCCTGACATGTTCCTGAAGTAGACCCAAGGGGTCCTAGCCACCATTCCCACAGGGTTGGAACAGAACTGTCCTGCCTACTGGGATAAGAGCCCCTCTATGGCCCAAGTAGAACACAAGAGCAGCTTTCAATTCTGAGAGAATCAATCCAGTGGCGGCAGGGAATAATTTTTCCCTTTTCTTATTATGTTCCATTAAGTGTGCATTCCTAAGGGCCTGGTTACTACCCTCTCCATCCCCCAAATTCAGATGAACATGTAACTGCTTCCCTCTTAATCACTACTCTTAAAGACTCAGATTTAAACAAGTTTTGAGCACTCACCATATGTCAGTTTCTGTTCTAGAAATGTTCCTGAGACCTCTCACACTCCTAAAGCAATCCTTGAGAGATAGTTATTACCCGCCTTTTATGGCTTAACTCAACAGAGACCAGAAGTTAAGTGAATCTCTTAAGCACAGCCAAGTAGAGGCCCAGAACTCAAACCCAAGTAAACTACTTCCCCTCTCTTACGTATGGAAAAGAAGCCCTCTCAAGAGAGCTTCTGCTTGGTCTCTATTACTAAAGCCAGGCAGCTTTTTGACTAGAAGCAGCTAATGCTTTGTTAAGGCCCAGATCACTGTCACCACTCCTGCAGTCCTACATTGTTAGTGTTCATCCATCCTCATTAGCTCCTTGAGTCATAAAACAAAGTAATAAGAAAAGTGAGTCTCCCAAAGAATTCCCTTTAACTCTGGCCTGTTTGGGTTTCAGTCTTTAAAGCAAGATTTCTCAATCTCGGCACTACTGGCATTTTGGACTGGAAAGTTCTTTGTTGGGGGTGGGGGAAATGGGAGGGAGGCTGCCCTGTGTACTACACGATGTGTAACAAGCAGCATCCCTGGTCTCTATCCACTGGAATGTTTAACAGCAACATCCTACCCGGTATGACAACCACAAATGTCTCCAGATACTACAAAACATCCCTTGAGGGGTAAAATGCCCTGGGTAGAGAACCACTGGTTTAAGGGTGCAACTAGAAGGTGTTACTTGCCTGTGGATCTCCATGATTTCTTCAGCAATCATTCGACCTATTTTGCCTGCCCCAGCCCTGGTTCCCCCTGGAATCCCTGGAACAGTGGGGTGGGTCCTCTTTGGGCCACCTACAACAAAGGAATCTGAGAGTGGGAAAGGGCAACCGAGGAAGAAATGCTATTATGAGTTAAAACCAGTTCATCTTGTGATCCACTTGAAGTTCAACCTTCGGGTTACGCCCTTAGGGGCAACAGCGCAGCTCGTCAGGAAAAGGCATTCCAGCAGAAGGCTCAAGTCTGCGTCCAGGATCAGAGACCAAAGCAAAGCATCTAATTCCCCTCCTGCACTCAACATCTGTTTCCTGACCACCACCATATGCAAGCCAGGGTCACAGAGGTAAGTCAGCAAGCTCTGCCCTCAAGGAGCTCACAGTCTAACAGGGAGACAGACAAGATGAACAATGGCTGGAGCCAAGTGCAGTAAGCTTTACCGGTAAGCCCAAGGCACCCAACTCCTCCAGGGCCAGGTGCAGCTTCCTGGGAAAGTTTAACTCTGAGCTGAGTCTTGAGAGAGGATGAGAAATTAGCTTGGCAGAGAGGCGAGGAGGGGAAGGCATTCCACCCACAGCCGCCAATATATGCAAGAGCACTGAGGGAGGACGAAACTTGGGAGACTACTCCCAAGAGATCCCTCGTGAATGAGGAAGGAGTGACAGATGACACCGCAGGAGCTACCCATCTGATCATGAAAGGCCCTGGATACTGTACTAACGGATTTGGGCAGGATCCCGAGGATAAGGGGTGCCAAAGCACTTCCCACAGAAAAGGCACTTAGACTGGGTTACTGCAAAGTCCACTGCACGGAGAATGAATGACAGTGGAGAAAGGGGGCTGGGTGGGGGAGTGAGGCTAGGGTTAGAGAACTCTCTGCAGTGATCCAGGCGACAGATGGGAGGGAAACGGAGAAGTCTAACAGGTAGAAGGGACAGGATTTCGTGTTCAGAGAGAACGGGTGAGAAGGAGTCGTCAAGGTTTCTGGCTTAAGCAACCAGAGGAGCGCAGAGACTGGGTTTGGAGAGGCTGAATTTCAGGTGCTTTTGAGACTCCAGGTGGCTCTGTCCAGGAGGTGGCTGGAGGGACAGACCTAGAGCTCTGGAGACAGAGACTGGATGTAGGAGTCCCTGGTGGAGACGGGACTGAGGGAAGCCATGCAAGCAGAGGTGGTCCCGTGGAAGGATGAGTCAGGTGCAGAGAGCAGGGGCTGGGGCCGGGAGGGAGCCCTGCTCCGTATGGCACATAGCCCAGTGCTGACAGACACCCTCCGCCCACCACTGGAGCCAGCGACAGTCACCAAAAGGCACCACGTCCCAGTCACTGGGCAACATGGAGGAAGGCCCAAGAGGAGCAGGGAGTTTGCTGTTTCAAGGGTTTCCAGGGTCCAGGCAGCCTCAGGAAAAGCAAAAATTGAGCTCCCTGTATTCCAGGCTCAGCAGAGAATATGAGAGGACAACGTCCTTAGTGCTCATCCCCTGGGGCCTCCTTTCTTACATGGGGGCTGGGGACACCAGCTACTTGGGGACAGGGTATGCTGGCCACAAGCGGCTTCTCATGGGCAAGCCCCGATGCCCCTGCAGCCCATAGTTACCTTCTCCAGAGGGCAGCATGCTGTCCATGCTGTGGGGGGACGCTGTGAGCTGCGGGAAGGCTGGGTCCCCGCCTTCCAGGACGTTGGCTCTGTGAACATCCCAGCAATAAGGAAACATGAGTCAGGCCTGCTCAGAACCGTGCACCTTTCACCTTGGCCAAGGTGTCCGGTGTCCACTCTGGACCTGGACAGGCCAGAAAAGGAAGTGTCTGTCTGAGTGGCTCAGCAGGGCTCCTCACTGTTTCAGGACGGGACGGGCAGCATCCCGGCCTTGGGCCGCACTGCCTGCCTGGGCCTTCCTGGTCCGTATGGGACACACGGTCCGGCAGAGAAGGGGACTGCAGCCGCGCGCGGCCTTCGCTACAAGGCCTCCACCCCCACCAGTCTGCAGGGGCACCACGCCCTGCCCGCCCCCCCAACTCGGCTCCAGCCACGGGGGCTGGGTCTGGACACCACGGGGAAGGAGATGTGCGGAGCAGTTCTGGCCAAGGAGCAGGTCCTTCCCTTCTCGCCTAGCAGGGGGCCAAGCCTGAGGCAGGCTTCTGGCCACCAGCACTGGGGCCGCCTGCCTGGCGGGCACAGACATCCGGCCATCTGCAGCCCGGGCTGGTCTGAACGGGCACCTGGGCGAGCCTCTCACCGACCGTCAACCCTTCCGTCCACGGCAGCACCAGGGGCACCCAGGGTGCAGGGCCGCCGGGATTCAAACGCTAACTGCTGTACTGGGCAGGAAACGCTGCTGTCTCCGGGAGCAACTCCACAAGCCAGGGGCCTGCGTGGTCTCCGTGTGGAAGCGTGTTCTTTGTTAACAACCCTGTGGGCTTCTGCCAACCCTGAGGCTTCAGAGGGTATCAGCAAGCTAGTGGTGAAGGCTGGGATACTCGCTGCCGCCCGCGCCCACTTTCCCAGGGAGACAGCCCCAGGCATCTAGATCTCTGAAGCAAGGGAGCTTCTGATACGGGGAAAACACTTACAAAACAACAGTGTTGGTTGAGACAATGTATTCGACTTCCTTGGTCCAAGGGTTCATGAAACTGAACCATCGACTCCGCAGCGTGATGAAAGAACCATCTTTGATTTTAAACTTATAGCAGTTAGTCGTAATCTTTTCTCTCGTCTGTAAAACTGAAAATGCAAAGAAGCCATGAACATGGTTCCCGCAGGCCAACATACGAAACCAGCCAAATCCTAAATGTGCCAAGGTTCCAGAGCCATCACTGTGTCATCAGACGGGGGCGCGGGCCCTCGGAGAATGGGTTGTTTCCGAGGGCTTCGTTCGGAGCCTTTCGGTTCATGTGGGAGTCGCTTGCTGTTGTTCAGTGTATGAAACGAAGGCTATCGACATCAGACTGGGACGAGCTTTGAAGGGAGCAACAAACGTCCCGGGGGCCCGCGTCCTTTCCCCATCACAAAGCCTGATGGCGGAACAGCATTTTTAGGACTTCTGAATCCAGGGAGGGTCACCCACCTAGTCAAACTTCATTCTTCCATGTCACAAACATGTAACCGGCACCTTTCACGGGCCGGGCACTGGAGAGAGAGGGGAGACAGCACGCGGCCCCTGCCCTCAGGAGAGGGACGTGAGAGGCAGCCATGCAGAGAAAGAGATCAGAGCCTCGAGGGAGGAGTACAGGTGTGTGGACAGGAGGGAGGGAAGGACCCAGCAGTGCCCGGCGCGTGGCATGCCCTGGTGGGGGCAGGAAGTGAGGAGATGTCCCCGATGCCTCTGCAAGCGGGGGGTGGGGGGGTGGGGAGGTGAAGCTGGGAAGGGGGGTCCGGGTCAGGAGGTGGAAGGTCTTGAATGCTGGTCAAAGGTTTTAAGGCAGGAGGTTTAAGGAAGGATGGGACATTATCAAGCTTAATCCATTGGGGTGTAAACAGGACAACTATGGAACATGGAAGGTGGAAGGTGGGGCAGAAGGGGGCCTGCTAGGAGTCTCTCACAATTACCGGCTGGGCACAAGGGCCTGAACTAGGGGTGCGGTAGCAGAGGTGCAAGAAGGGGCCTCTTTGGAAACGCACGTCTGGGTGAATGAACGAGGGAAGGGCTCAGTACTGGCTCCTCTCTCGGGAGGCTGGTTATGTGCCCGCGCCATAAGTCAAGAGGGAAATACAGGAAGCATGGCAGGATTTTACGGAAAAGAGAATCAGATCTGTTTGAGCCACACCAAATCTTTACAGGGTCCGTGTAACAAGAACAAGAGATGCTTTCCAGAAACCGCGCTGTCCTACGTACAAGAAACTGCTAGACAGTCTGAGGTGGGTTCACTGTGAGGGGCTAAACGGGGCCCGGGAACATCAGCCTCTTCTCAGACATGTTTTGGCCTGAAGACTCCTGGCCTGGCTGACTCCCACATCACTGGGGGCAGATTTCTCTGGAACCTTTATGTGGACTAGTTTCAAAGCAGGGGGACACCTTAAAGTGAAGACCTTTTGTACCCGCCCAGCTTACCTTGCCTATGACATTCTGCGAGATGTCCTATGTCATCTTGGTGAAAATATTCATAACATGATGTGCCTAGAAGTTCTTGTGGTAAATATGCCAAAATAGCTGTTGCCCTAGAATTTTTTTAAAAAAGAAAGTTATTCAGACAATTAACAGCATCTCTGCAGTGGATGAACCCCAATGTGCTGATCAGAACAAGGTCCAAGCTGGGTGGATGTATTTTTTTCGTGCAACTGAACTTTACCAACACTCTAAAAACAGAGGGAAGAGAAAGAAAAGAAGGCTCTCAAAGGAGTCGTTATCCCAAGAAAGGAGACTTAAAAATGGTAACTATAGTAGTCAGATAAAAATGTGATAGAAACCCAAACCTCAGGGCAAAGCTTCTCCATTACTTTTTTTTTTTTTTTTAATCAAATGGCCAAACATCAGAAGCTCCAGTGGCGGGGGCCATAAGGGCCTTGAAAAGTGGCGGCGCCCTTTTCCTGCATGTAGCAACTATTTCTAATAGCCAGAAAACTTATCAGCCTGTGAATATTCTCCACGAGGCCACAGACGGCAAACTGGGCACATCAGGGTCCTCAGCTCAGGTCTACTACCACTGTGCTGTGAATGGGAGGCGGCCGGTCTTCAGTTGGGGCCCCAGGTCCTCACCCAGAAAAATGAGACTAGACTAGATCAGTGTTGCCAACGGAGCTTTCTGCAATGGCGATGTTCTCGATCTGTGCCATTAGCCTCACATTGCTAAAGAGTACCCGCAATATGGCTAGTGAGCCGGAGGAACTTCTAGCTTAGTTTTAACCAAGACTTGAATAGCCGGATGAGATTACCATAGCCAAAGACCATTGCATCAGACAGCTCAGGACTAGGTCATCTTTTCCAAGTCCTACGTTCCAGAATTTCAATCACAGCCATGTTTCTGAACGTTCCACACACATTCAGACAGCAGCATCCTATGCCTACCATTTCTCTCCTGGCCACGGACATCGAATCACGATGTCACCTACTTAGCTGTCTCTACGTGCCAAAGAGTGTTAAAGACAAAATCTCTATATATACGATGATATTCCGAAGGGTCTCATTTTTTAGCAGAGATCCCCATCGCTTCCTTCTCTCTTTACCCTGATGGCCCAGCCTGCTCTGCTTTACTCAGAGGTGACAATCTTAAACGGTCAGTGTTCACGGGTAGCACGCAGACTCTCACCTCTGGTCTACAAAAACAAACTTCCCGTCTATCGCGTGCCGAGACACATACTCCATAGACTTCACCCTGATTTCCCCGTTCACCGGCTGCGGAACCACGTGCGAATGCAGGCGTCCGATGGCGACGAGACAGCTGAGGTTACAGCCCTCGTTGTCCGGTTCGCTGTCCTCGTCCAGCCCCATCTTTGTGGGCGGCCAGCTCTTCAGGTACCCTGTGCTGTGGATGGTGCAGAAGCTCTTTCGATCTGCTAGAAAGCAAAGTCCGCGGTCAGTGTCAGGCTGGGGGCAAGCAGGCTCGCCAGCCTGGGGTGGGCTGGGATGCGGGAAGGGAGTCAAACAATAAAGAAGCTTTGCTCTCCGGACGGGGGACTCGAGAGAGAGAGGAAGGCACGGCAGTGGGCCGCTATCATCCAGTGTCATGCGTGCGGGGCTGGACTGGTCATGCCAAGAGCGTCACGTATACCAAGGAAGGAGTAGCTCAGTCTACCTGGGGAGAGGAGGGCTGCCCAGGAAAACCAGGCAGGAGGTGGATCAAAAAGGATGAGCACTGGCTAAGGGACTAGAATGGGCGAAGGTCGAGAAGGTACAAAGCGCGGAGGCGCATCCAGTACGAGAAACAACGGAGGGCTCGGCGTGGTTGAAGTGGAAAGGGGGCGCCTGGGCGGGGCTGGACACAGAGCTGGAAAGGCGAGTGGGCACAGATGACTGGGGTCTTAGACTATTTGTTAACAAACGTGTGTTTCTCAGACAGGGAATGGGGAGCTTCCAAAGGCACATAAGTGGGGAAACAGCGAAAGCAAATGGTGCTTTGGACACTCCAGGAGCAGAGCGCTAGGGAAACTGGATGGGTAAGGAGCAGGAGGAAGACAAGCCTGAGCGGGGACGGCGACAGATGAGGAGGGCTGTGCTCTGCTACTGCAGAGGGCGAGGCAGCGGGGAGGCACGTGGGACAAGTTTCTGGGAACTCTTGAGATTTGGTATGGATATCAAAACATTTGGCGCGAAAGAAAATGAAGGGGACCCCCAACTTTTTTGGATTGCATGCTCGTTGCTCCCGGACTCAGGGAAGAGAGAACAGAGAGTATGCTGTAGAGAAGAGGGAGGATTTCACTTGGGGACACATTCAGTGTGGAACCACCTGTGGATTTCAACAATAAACGCATCCTTACAGAGTGTTTATGAAGCGGCGGGTCTGTGCTAGTTATTGGGAAACTGGGAAACCCATCAGACGCGCCAGCATGGAGTTTCTAGCCCCTGTGCGGAGACAGACGTCAAACAAGTAACCTGAGGGGGTGAGCGGCAGCCCCGGACGCCCAGCTCTAAAGGACCAGCTGGCTGAAGGGAGCTGCGGGGTGGGGGGGGCGGGGCCAGCATGGACGGACGGAGACCTGGGGCAGAAAGGGGGGCGAGGCATGGACAGGAAGTCAGCACAGCTGAGCACACGGAGTGGCGGGGGGCGGAGGGTGCACCATCATGGACTCTCAGCTTCTCTCCAAGAGCAGCGGGGACCGCTGCAGGGTTTTACACGGGGAGCCGAGAGAAAGCTGTGCTTCAAAAAGATCATTCTGGCTGTCGTGTGGGGAGATGGCAAGTGTGAGGAGCCGCGGTGAGCGCACGGGGGGGCCGGGGTCCGAGTGATACGGTAAACAAGGAGGTGGGTACACACAGTCTTCGTCACCGGAGTGGGAGACAGAGTGAATCGGGCTGAGGGTGCCTCCCCAGCTTCCAGTATGTGCAACTGGGCGGCGCGGAGGGGCTCGGGTGGTCACTCTTACACAGATCATGTTTGAGGTGCCCCTGAGGATAGCGGAGCAGGCAGATGTAAGAAGAAGTGGGTTTACGGATCCGGAGCTCAAAGGAGAAGTCTGGGCCAGAAATATAAACTTGGGCGTTACTGGCATATACGGGAAACGGCAAGCTAAGGGAGCAGATGACATCACCTAAGGGTCAAGTGTGGATAGAAAGGTGGCTCAGGACAGATGAGGAGCCAGCAAAAGGAAGTCGGGAGAGGGCCCTACTGTGGCAGAGGCTGGGAGAGACGAGAAGAGTGAGGTTTCATGGAGTCCTGGGGGAAAAAATACTTTAAGATGGAAGAAAAATGAAGTGTCCGTTGTGTCTAGCAACGTGACAGTCCTGGGTGAACTGAGCAAGAGTCATTTCAGTGGATGGGCGGGATGCTCGGAGTGGCTGGCACTGGGCTGAGGGTAGTCCTTCTCAGCCACTTTAAAACAGACCGGATTTACACGGAGGAAGCTTTCCCACGAATCGCTGTCAGGGTGACAACCACCAGGGCTTCCCAATCTCTCCTGCTCCCCAAAGGCCCTACTCTGTAGGGGGAGAATGGTACTGGCTGCAGTCCTGGGGTCTGCAAGGGACCACCGACCCCATGCCCTGCTGAGCCCCCCAGTGCACAAAGCCAGCCTCCCCTGTATTAGGATTTTATTATTTTTTTTTTTTTAAAGATTTTATTTGTGAGAGAGAGAGAGAGAGAGAGAGAGCGAGAGAGAGCGCACGCACAGGAGGGACAGGGAGAGAGATTCTGAAGCTGACTCCATTCTGAGCGCCAGAGCCCGACGTGGGGCTCGATCCCACGACCGAAAGCTCATGACCTGAGCTGAAACCCAGAGTCGGACGCTTCACAGACTGAGCCATCCAGGAGCCCCCCTGCCTCACTGTATTAAGATTTTAAAGAAGTGAAGTGGTTACCTTTTTTCTTTGAGCAGGTAGAGGGGAAATCCTTGTCTTCCACCTTTACTGAAGGCCTGTTACACTTCATCCTACAGAAGAAAGAACGTCGTGCTCCAGAACATAATCGAGATGGCCCAGGGGTTATATCTGTTTTAACTGGAAGTCCAGCTGCAAATCAATACACAAAATGTGATAAACTGAGAGTAGTACTGTCTGTCAGGAGGGGGAGTGTGACCTTGAAGAAAGCCTCTTCTTTCCTGCCTCACTGTTCTATAATGACCACACCATTCCTCCTCAGTGTAGGCCATAAAAGACGCAACGTGGGGAAGTGGGCTGTCCGTCTGGAAAGGTTTCCAGATCACGGAGAATGCAGCTACTGGTAGGAGGAGCAGGACCGTAATCCTGCTATGAACGCTGGCTACTGGTCTACAGACCGGGTCCAGGGATGACACACGCCCACCATGGGGGCGACCATCAGAGGAGGGGCCGCTGCCCGGGGCTCCTGCTGGGTGTCCCCCCTCCGGCCTACCTCCCACAGCCACCCCCGGGATCGGGATGCGCCCGGGCCCGCCGTCCCTGCCCCTGCTCGGTTTGCTCCAGCCACAGAGCGGGTGCTACACCTGTGTGTCCATCCAGAAATCGTTTTCCCTGCTCTGTTCATCTCTTCATGGCCTGGCACACAGTAATCACCCTTTCAGACGCACCCCAGCTGTCACCTACTCGGGGATGCCTGTCCTCGCACCCACACGAGAATGAGTCGTCTGTTCTCGATGCCTGGTACGATTTCTAGGGCAGTACCTAGTACGCAGGGTGCTGTCTCCTGGTCTCCCTGACTATATGGTGAGAGCCTTAAAGGCAAGAACCAAACATCACCTTCTTCTTCTCATGTCCCTGCCAAAAACTGCCAGGGCCAGACTATAAAAGGCAACAGGTACCAGGGGCTGTGTTGAACTTTTAGGAACTTAATGAAAATATCACAATACTGACAATCGTGCCTATTGTGTGCCAGGAACTGCCCCGCGGGCTTTACGTATGTTAATATATTTAATCCTCATAACTACCCAGTGAAACAGGTACTATTTTGCAGATAAGGAAACGGAGGCACAGAGAGGTTAAGTAACTTGCTCAAGGTCACACAGCTGGAAAAAATCAGGGAACCAGGAAGTGCGCCTGGCAATCTGCCTCCAGACTCCACCACATTCTCAGCTGCTGGAGCCACAGGACTGATGGGAGGAGGGCTACAGGACCTCACTCCGGAGGCACGGAGGGCGGGGTGGGGTGGGGGAGGGCCTGAACGGTGGTTCCCCGGCTAAAGAAGGAAGCCAGGAAGGGGAGCCGACTAACGAGGAACCACTTTGGCCAAAGAAACTTTTATGTTTCATGTTTTCTTACTTTTATCTTAGGAGGCTGCATGTGTGTAACTCAGGTAAACCGAGGGAATTTTTTTCGGGGGGAACCAATCAAACTGGCGTGAGCCCTTGAAACTCAGGAGCATACAAGTGGGAAGTTCTAGATTCTGGGCGGGGGGAGAAAAAAAAGACTAAAAACCAGAAAGAATCAAAGTAGCTGTTTTTCCTCTCAGTGGATTTGGACATTGAGTTGTTGCTTCTTTATATGAAACAAAACAAACAAACAGGAAGGAAGGTGAAGGACCGACTTGAGCCAAAGAGAGCACCTGTGACCCAGATAAAGGGCAGAGAGGAGGGGGGCCAGAGGCCGAGCGCGGGGGCCACAAGCGGCTGTCCTCGCTCGCGGTCAGAGGGAGCCCCGAGGACGCAGCCGCAGCCTTCTCCCGGACTCACTTTTTGCATCTATGAGCCGCTCCCGGGGCGCCGTGTCTGAGGACGAGAGCTGTTCCTTCACTTTGGCGATGTCTTTAGGGTGCAGGTAGTCAAACAAACTCTGACCGATCAGATCATTCTGAGGGGATGAAGCACGGAAACGCGTCAACGGCGCGTGGAACAGAACCTACCCAGCAGGGTGCTTTGCCTTTGTCTTTCTAAGCAGGAGAATTTCAAAGATTTCCCATGTGAACACGTACACCTATCCAATCACTCTGCCGAGATACAGACACAGGGAACGAGGCATTGGGAGTTTGCTTTTGATAACACATGAGGGGAAAAGGGCTTAATTATATTGATACTTCTATAAATAGTTCATGCTCCTCGAAGGCAGGAATCTTTCAGCTGCACACGTTCCCTCTGACTGATTTCTGATGCCCACGAAAGCCCTTCTAGGGACACAGGGCGTGGGTGCAGACTCTAGCCCGAGGCTCCGTGCTCTTCAGCCACGACCCCCTTCATAACTTTGCTTGAAGACCAAGAAGAGCAAGACACTGTGGACACATTCAACTTACATCCCTTCAAATGTATACACGTTTTTTTGATTCTTCAATTCTGCTGCCTTACCAACTTCCCGTGCAAACACCAGTAGGTGAAGGAGTGAGTGAATGAACGGATGAGTAAAAATGTTGGGGACAGAGTAAATGAAAAACTCTGCTCTAGAAGCTTTTGGGAATGTTTATCTTATTTGATCCTATGAACAATCATAAAAGGTAGGGGTTATTAGGGTCATTTTTTTTTTTTTTTTTTTTTTTTTTAGAGGAAGCCACGGTTCAACAGAATTCAAAAGGGATACATCATCACAAAGTATCGGTGGATTCCCAATTGTTTTATTCTCTGGGTATTCTCTGACCTGCCTTTCCCTGTCAGATAGCCCCTCCCGCCTCCCACCCCCCTTCAGTTGTGGCATAGTCATTGGGTAGCAACAAGAAAGTATAAAGCTGCTGATGAGATCAGTTAAACCTTCCTGTGAGGGAAACGTGGAACATATCCAAAAGTCTTTTTCTAGGGGCCCCTGGGGGGCTCAGTTGGTTAAGTGCCCGACACTTGATTTTAGCTCAGGTCATGATCTCCGGGTCGTGAGATCGAGCCCTACATTGGGCTCCGCACTGAGTGCACGGTCTGCTTAAGATTCTCTTTCCCTCTGCCCCTCCCCACCATGCACGCATGCACACATGCTCTCACTCTCTCTCTCTCAAAAATAAATGAATCTTTAAAAAAAAAAAAAAAAGATTTTTTTTTTTAGGTTTAAATTCATTTCTCTGTTAAGAAATGACAAATTTTCTGGAAGAAGCACTGGGTGTGTGTGGGAGGACGGTACAAGCATCTTCCATGTGACTTGTATATTATAATTATTCTAAAATGCGGGGCGACCTTTCTGGCTGCTGGGAGCCTGCCCATCACCAACCCAAACAGGAGCCATACCTGACTGTAGTTGAGGATCTTGAAGACAGACTCGGAGACAAAGAGGATCTTCCCTCGGTCACATCCTACGACAAACAAAAATCCATCTGCTGCCTAATCAGGAGAAATGGATAATCAATTTATCACACTTTAGGAAACACGATTTGTAATCACTCTGATAGCAAATAAGGACTTGGTTTGCTAAGTATCCAAAGCACAGAACTGTACTCATTGATAGTCACAGGATGCTCACAACTAATGCATCAGGAGAGGAGTAAGATGCTCTCCCAGGCAGGTCCAGACACATAGATCATCTAATGATTACAGGGGACGGTCCAACTGAAGTAATTTCTGTTACAACAGTGAATTCACTTTAAGACTTTTCCTTTGAGAGTATCAAGGTCCGGAGAAGTCCTATTTTATTGCTTTAATCATAACTGTGTAGAATCACAGAATCTGAGATTGAAAGGAACCTTTAAGATCAAAACCCCCTCTCCTGTATCCTGACCACCATCTATCCTCAACTTGAACGCTTCCGTTTACAGAGCATGCTCTTGAACAGTGCTTCTCAGCATGGGGAGTGGTGTGTTGTTTGTTGTTCTTATGCTCCTGGTCGGGGGGGGGGGGGCGCTGGATCAGGAGTCTTGTTCTCACCCCTACTCCAAATGATTTTCATGTACAAGGATTGAGAACTACTGTTCTTGACTATCATTTCTGGATCCAGGGCTGGGCTGCTTATATCCTAAGGGAGACAAGAAAAGCAAAGCAAAAATTTCTCCTACATTCTCCTTCCCTCTTCACCTTAAATACAGGTAAAAATCTAAAGTCCCAAGACAGGCATATGGATATTGAGACAGGATGCCGTCAGGCTGAAGCAGATAAACACCAGAGCTGTAGCGCCTGAGGTATTAGGCTCCGTGGCCTCTGTGTGAATGCTGCCCACAGCTCTGCAGATGGCCAACCACTCAGCTCCCGCTGGGGACCTCCCAGCGGCGGGGAGGGGGCTCCACACTCAGTCACGCACTTGCATTTATGCTCAGCTCCCACAGTTCTAATTCAACATCTTTATTCACCAGTCCTTGGTCTCTTCTTGGGAAGAATCTAGAGAAACTCCAATCCCCTTCCCACAAAAGGGTCTTGGGGGATGTACTATAATTCAAAGAAGTAAGAAATGAGTTAATGTGCCAGAGGAAAACCACGGCACACACACCAGGGCGGCCATGAAGGCGGCAGGAGGGACCGAACCACCACTGCCGAGACCGCGCCAGGCCCCTCAGCCGGAAGGGAGCTGGGGCTGAGCTCCTCCTAAGCTAGCACAGGGGCGGGGGAGGACAGCGGAGAAGAGACTTTCCAAGCACCATCTGCTGGAAGCCTCATTCAGTCAAGAGCTAGGGTATTAATAACTTCGGCACCGCCTTGCAGGCAATCTCCCATCTCACAGAAGTGTTTTGAGGCTTTTCACGGATGAAGTGAAGTGGCACAGAAGGTGCCTCGGAAGAAGCTGCCGATGACATCCTGGAGGGAATGCTGGGCAGAGTTGGGCCTGAACCTGTGACATCAACAAAGTGGGTCTCAACACGTCCAGGGAGAGCAAGAGGGCTCCAAAGGCCAGCGAATCATCAGGGAGGAGAGGCTCAACACGTTCTGACTCGGTTTCCCTCAGGCAGATAAACGCCACCAGGTGAAGGAGCTGGGTCCCAGGGGACAGCAGATGAGCAGAGACTAGGAGAATGCCACCAGCACCACGGGGCCACATGGAGACAGGACAGGCTCCCTCTCGGGGAAGGACAGGCTTAGTAAGGGACACAGAAGCCCTGGCGGGGTCCGCCTAGTTATCAGAAGATGGGGAGGTGGAGTACCCAGCCATCATCCACTGCTCAGGCTGACTGCTCCCTGACACACCATCATGGAAGCCATTTGGAAAGCTCTCAGTAGAGAAAGCGGTCCGTCAGACGTGCACTGGGAAGGGAACACAGAAGTCCAGTTCCCGCGGCTGAACCGCTCAAACATCTGAGCGGACCCTGCCTTCTGTTGAAGCAAATTCCTGGGCACTGGGTACCTGGAAGTGGCGAGGGATTGGACCGTGCTTCGTCACCACGGACGCACGCCAGGGAGGGCAGAAGAGTTTCGTCAGGAGAGACACATCACCACTGTGTCCTACAGATGCTGGAGGACACGGAAGCACAGGAAAGGCAAACCCAAGATGAGGTATTTAGTTTAAATGGCAGGAAAATCCTTGTTCCATACCCTGACAAGTGTGGGCATTGGACAGGAAATTTAGAAAAGGAGAAAGTTATTGAGCATTTGCCATTACAAAAGAAGTTTATATTTATTATATGTAAATATATATAAACATATAAACCTGTTATATATAATAGGAATTTCATATACTTATATATATATATATATATATATTCAAAATAAAACACATTTGTGGAGGGCGCCTGGGTGGCTCAGTCGGTTAAGCATCTGCCTTCGCCTCAGGTCATGATCCCGGGGTCCTGGGATCGAGCCCCACATTGGGCTCCCTGCTCGGCGGGAAGCCTGCTTCTCCCTCTCCCTGCTGCTCTCCCTGCTTGTGCTCACACTCTCGCTCTCTCCGACAAATAAATAAAATTTTTAAAAAACAAAAAAACATCAAATTAGCAGTATGGCAATCAGGACAAGCCACAGGATTTGTGGGGCCCAGGACATGATGCCCTTCCAGAGGGCAAGAGCAGAGCATTACACTCCCGGTGTGGCCCTGTGTGGCTACAGAGGCTGCCACCCGTGAAGCCGGCCCTGGCGGTTTCTCCAGAGATGCTGCAGGCACAGTGTGTATCTTAACTCCAGCAAGTCCTCCCTGAGAATAGGGATGGCTTGATGAAGGGGGATGAAGAGAGGAGTGCAGAGCTGTGCCCTGAGGGAGGCAGCCCAGGGACCATCACAGACTTGCTGGGATGCCCGGCCCCCCCACAACGTGTTTATTGTTGACTTGGATGTACCCAGAACAGTGCCACGCACACAGAACTAAGTCTCAGAAATATCTGGGGCATTAGTGAACGAAAGACACAGAAGGCATGCCTATCAGATGTACCAGTCACAAGAAGCCTTGAAGGATCACTAATGACTAACTGGAACGTAAGACCATCCAATAAATATTTTTTGACAGAAACAGAAGTTCAAAAAAACCAAACCACACCTATACAGGATGGAAAAAACTTGGCCTCACAATAATCCCTAAGAGAGTGGGAGGGACGGTATTACAGTGGTCCAAAACGTGGCACTAATATGATGGCTTCTACGGCAAGGAGGGAGCCAGGCCCTTTCAACCCCAGGCCAAGCAGACCACAGCTGAAGTTCTGCACTGGGTCCTGAGAGCCACTTCTGAAGGAAAATCTAGCAAATGGACGTGGCTCTGGAAAGTGTGTGTGGCCAATGCTGATGGGGGACTCTTGTCCGCCTCTACTGTGGAGGCTGGAAAAAATCTAAATCCTTGCCCTGAAGCTAGTGGTCATCAATTAACACCTTCCGGAGAAGCTGACATCTACTATCGGGCTTTTAGGAAGGCATACCCTTTCTTGAGAAAGGGGACAGCTGGCCCGGACCCTCCCCTGCCCCTTGTTTCTGGCTGGTGTGGCTACACCGAGGAAGCAGGCTGCACACGAGCTCGGCACGACCGTTCGCGAAGACAGACAGAGCCTGGCTCCGGCCACCCTCACTGAGCCACCACACCAACCCCTCCCGGCCTACCGCAGGACCGGCTGTATTTGGGAAACAAAACCCTATCTGTTCATCAGGTCATCTGTTCCTTGCAGCTGAAAGCTTTCCAACTGAGAGAACATGTCAGGAGGGGATGGACAGAGAATGCTGGAGTGAGCACACGGGCCAGACTTACAGAGGACCAGAAGACAGGCAGAGAGGAAAGTCAGGGTGACGACAGAGTGGCCTCGAGCCTGAGGCCTGGCAAATGTCTGCTGAAAGCAAGGTGCCCAGATGCCATAGGGGCTTAGCAAGCGACGTCCACCCTGGCTGTGGGGGGACGGAGGCGGGTGACATTTTTCTGTTTTTCTGTTCACAATTGGCCAGAGGGCAGGCTTCTGAATCCCGTTTCTTTCCCTTCAGTTTCCAAGTTGGTCTTGCTCCACCCGGAGGCAGACCTAATGCCACATGGAAGCCAAGCTCTCGTGGTGCCACCTCTCCACAGAGACGAGCAAGACAAGCGAGTGCGCTGGTCCAGAGGGGACAGCCTCACCGCCCCCATTTCTTTTCCTCCTTGGGCAGAGAGGTCTTTGGAAGCTTTCTTGCTTTGATGGGATTTTAGTGTCAAGATGTATGTGGATGTTTTTGTGCTAGCGGTTAGGTGAGGAGAAGACAAATTCTCCGCTGTTATCAGTGCCTGTCCCTTTCTAAAACCTTCACGCAGGAATGGGGTTCTTAACTACCTATGTGTACAAAATCCTGCCTCCTTCCACTTAAAAATCACAGTAGCCTGGGCCTTCCATTTTTGTCTAAGCAAGAGTGGAAGGACTGTGGGGACTGTCCAGACAGCTGTGGAGACCCGAAAAGACGAAGTCAGCCTCCAAAGGCCCAATGTTTAGACATCAAATTCCCACACTCTGGTACCTCACACTGAAATGTGTAAGCATGGATAAGACAAGCTCCTAATTGTGACATACCCTGAGAATGAGGTGTTTCAATTCATCATCTGACAGAAAAGTTGGTTTGTAGTTTGCTTCTGTGTATGGGTTGGTGGCACCTGAGGGAGGAAAAAAAAAAAAAAGAGAGAGAGTTGGTACACTTTCTATTCAGGGAATGGCTCATAGCACTTCACTGCCTCCGACCTTCCAGATGTGGCCTCGTCCCTACCACCTGGGACTTCAACGTTCTCTCCTTTTTCCTTAACAGACACAGGGCTAGATCGGGCTTCGGACAGGATCCATTGAAAAGACAACACTGCTGCCCACAGGGGACCTAACAGGTTTGCTCTGGTCACTGTAGGGGAGCCAAGAGGTCATAGATGGAAGTATAAATCTGCTTCAGAGAGAGAAGGCAGCTTTGGAAGTCAACCGGCAGAGGCTCCTGGGAGGGTTCCCTCCTCCCAGGGCCGACATTAAATGCGTCGTCTAGCAGTCCCTCAAATGACCACGCTGAGCCTTCCTGGGAAATCACCCAGGCGGCCAGGCTCTGAGTAAATAAATATACTGTAGAAGGCATTTAGTGGGAGTGCTTCTTCATCAGGGTGAGGTAAATGAGCTTGGCAACCCAGAGAAATGCATTACTTCAGTGAATACAACTCTGGCTCCTCGGGCTGAAAGGGGACAAGATGCTTAAAAGGCCATCCGTCTGGCACCATATAGAGAACACCGTATAGGAAAAACACCGTACGAGAGAACACCATACAGGAGAACACCGTATAGTAACAGGGAAAAATGCTGGCAGCAAATGACCTTGGAATCTGCAAAAATGGTTAGAACAGTGAAGAAATAAAATGGAAAAGATCTGTAGCAATTCTCAGTACCACGGCGAAGGAGGAGGTTGACAGAATGTGTCTGACTTTCCTATCAACTACCAAGGCACACACTGAGCCACATCCCTGCTTTTTATATAACTCGAGATTTGTCCCTCGTTTCCTTCCAATTTAATAAAAAATGAGCTTATAATAATTTAATCCCCACAATCTTCCCTAATAGTAATGTTTAGATGCCACCCTCACAGCACAGGACACGATGCTGATGTGTCTGAACAGTGATCAAAAGGCAGACGAAACCGGCTACTCCTTCTTTCTGGTGGCTTTGTGGAAACATAAAGACGCAATTCTTTTACCACGCAGGTCAGAGGTCTGACTGAGCGCCCACTTTCCAATTTCCTCAAAGGTCCAAGACAGGCCATGGGACATGCCAGGCCCAGCGTTCACTAGAGTGCCTGCGACACTGCAGCTTTCCCCTGCGGCCTGGGTAAGTTGCTTCCACATTTCTGCCTCTGTGTTCTCACCCATCCCACACTCAGAAAAGAAGGAAAATACTGCCTCCTTCTTAGAGAGTCTATCTGGTTTGGGAAAATTCCAGGAACATGAAAATATCATCAGTGTTCATCCCTGACAGTAAAACGCAGCAAGAACCATCAACCAGTGACTCACTCTTTAAAGGAGCCACGGTGAATTTTCCCCTTAAAAACAGCAACAGACTTCTCTGCGTCACCAAGGGCACCTGCATGTCTGATGGTGATCACTGGGCAGGTGGGGCCCAGCGCACAGACACAGGCAAGATGTGGGTCCTCCCCGACATGCACGTAGCCTGCCTATCACATACACGTGCAGACGCGCGCACAGACCACAGCCTCTACTCCCTGGGGATGTAGGACCGCAAAATCCCAAATGGACACCCACATAAGCTCAGGAATCACTTCATTTGGCATCAGGTCTACTGCCGGGAAGGACAGTTACTCAAGGCTACACACTGGCAAATAATACACACGGTCCTGGGGACTCAGGCACACCCTAGGCAAGGGAGGGAACATGTGTGGGCAAGGGCATCAAGAACAATAAAGTCTTACCTCGTAATGTTTTCATGTGCTGAACGGCCATCCTCAGCACAGTAAGTTTATCTAATTTCCTGGACATGGCATTGCACGTGGGCACCAAAGAAGCCAATTCATCAATGAAGCTGTTCATTTTATCCCGACGCCTCTTTTCAATCTGACTGTGAGCTTCCCTGCACAACAACAGGAAAAATGATTTCTAGAAAATGAAGTCGAGCCTCAAGGAGACAATGACAAAAATAAGTTATCACGGCTTCTGACATTCCCCCGACAGGGCAACGTTTAGAATCTGCGCAAGGCTTGGAACTCGGCTTTTCTACTAAAGTCACCAAAAAAAGTGGCCTCACTGCGCGGGGTCATTATTGTTTGTATGCTTACCTCATACTTAGAATTAGGAAGAAATACTACAAAAACTGTCTGCTCAGAGTAAACTGGATTGGCAATTTCTCCTTTCTTTTCCTCTCAGCCTCTGTAAAGTTGGAATTTAAGATGGGCATGGAAGGAAAGGGAAGGGAGGTAGAGTCTGCAAAGAGCAAAGCATCCAGAATGGCTTTGCGGGGGGAGCGGGGGAGGCTGTAGTCCTGCAGAGATCTCTGAGGTTTGTGAGGAGCCCACTGTGTGGCCTGTCAGAGACTCCCGACTGAGTCCCTAGGTAACTAGTGCTGCCATCTTTGGATCAACCATGACTCCACCAGGACACAGCAGATGCTCCGTCTGTCCCCAAGAGCTTCCTCTGAAGAGTGTCACACTCTTTCCTCCCAGGAGCGGCTGCCCGTCAAGGCAGGAGGATGCATCCACAGGCACACATGCTCTCCCTGACTGGTTTGTACCTGCCATTTGTGATTGTCCCCGATGGAGTGCATCACCAGTGGAAATGTCGTTTGCTGCCATAGCAACAGAGCCACCAAGAGGGACCTCCCACCACAGCTAGGCTGTGCGGGGAAAGCTAGAAGTCTCAGGCCAGTCGAATTCTGCAGCCCTGGGTCTGTGTCATGACTGCCTCAGATGGCCCTGGAGTCACTGGCAGGAGGGCAGACCCACGTGGATGGGGTCAGCAAGTGTGGCTGGAGGCAGGAGGCACCGAGTTCGAGAACCTACTCAAGGGCGCAAGCAGCCCCATGCCTCCCTTGCTGGGCAAGAAGGACCGCTCTGAGAGGCAAGGCCCGGCCCGAGAATGGAGCCACTGAGCCAGGTCTACTCTGGAGGGCCCTCGAGTCAGGAAGGAGCAACCTGCTGGGGAAGAGCTTCAGCCTTGTAGGGCTTTCTGCTACTTCCAAAGTCCCCTGCAGGTTAAACGTGCTTAGGTAGCCAAGAGTGAAGGCCAACTCAGTATGGAGAGGACAAGCGGCAGGTGGCCACAGCCAAGGCACCCCCACCCCAATCCCCGAAGGGATGCTTAGACCGACAGGGACCAGACACACAGAGCCGGCTCAGCGGCACTCCGAGCGCCCAGAACCAGGACGGTGTATAGACAGGTCCGCGCTTACCTTGCATTTTTGATCCTTCCTTGGTGCTCTGTGTATTCTAACCTGGAAGGGAAGGGGAAAAGAAAAGCAAAAGATCAGACACAAACCCTGGGAGACTAATGGCAAAGTCACACATCTCTCTTTTCTTCCCAGCTTCATTCATTTCCCTGCTTAATCCCTGTCATCTCTCTCAACACACAAGGGCTCTTATTATCCACACTGGGGGCTGGGCCCAGAGGAGAGCATCTTGAGCTCCCAGGCTCCCAGCCTCCTTGCTTATCCCCATCCAAGGACACAGGTGGGACCTGCACCAAGTAACAGAACATGTAATTATGCAAGGAAAATAGCAGGATGAACGTCACGACTAGGTTCATGGTACCTTCCGTGAGGGTCGTCTTTGTCTGTGTCCATGCTTTCTCTGAAAAAACAAGAGAGAACATGAGTATCTGTCAATAAACACATACAAAGCTGCTTCTTACAACATGGAAGGCTCTCATTTATCCAGAAACCAAATAATCAGAGAGCTCAAATATCCACAGTATTGATGATTGACGTAGACTAGTCAAACAAACACAGCTTGCCCCTACAAACTAGGACCGGTTTTCCAGATGATCAAACAAAAATGACGTACGGCCATCAACAGAGCATGCTGTTAACATATTTTATGCCATATTTTGGAAATCAGGAATACAGAGCATTTATGGAAATTCTTAATCAGAGTGTCCAAATAACTATAATACCTTATTCCCCTCATCATTCTGGATAAATGGAGTTTATTCATTTGTAAAATATACCAAGCCTCAAATATACGTGTGCATACATATATATTTGGTGGGAGGGTGAAGTGAGGAGGGGAGACCAAAGAACCCACAAAGAAGCACTGAGCAGAGCCCTGAGGCAGCTTGTCAAAGACACGGATACACAATGTTCTGGTTCTCAGCCAGGTGGGAACCCCCAAGGCCCGAGGAACTGGGAGACAGGGCACGAGTGGGGCTGAGGGGCGTGGAGCCCTGGTTGGCAGCAGAGGATCCTGGGGTCACAGCAGGGATCTACCCCCCCTTTTACAGACTCCAGAGATCCAAGTTTCATGGCACCTCACGGTTTAGTAGAAAACAAACTAGAATCCTCCAAGGAAGGGGTTCCAAATCCCCCTGGGGTCGGCTCACACCCTTCTCCAGCCCCTAAGTTTATCACCAGGAAGGCACTGCCTGGCACCTGGGCCTGTCTTTCTCTTTTATGCTGGAAGAAGAGAGGCATATGGCCCTTCAAACAGTGTAGTCCCAAGGGCAAAAACAACTTTTCTCAGGAGCACTGAATCACAGCATGGGCATTCTAGAACAGGGGTTCCCAACCAGGAGCCCTTGACTGCCTCACAGGCAGAGAGCTTGTCTAGCTAGTCCTAAAGCACAGAAGACAGGATGCAGGCCACAGGGGAAAACCAAAACTCTCCCTCCCCTTTTGTCTTGGCTTGTATCTGGTCACTGAGGCCAGGATAATCATCCCAGGTGAAGAGAGTTCCGCCTGACCGATCAGACACATTTAGCACAATGAAATGACAGGGAAAGGGATGAGGGGTGCTTAATAGGGTCTCCATGAATCACAGAAGATTTGTAAACGGGGTCCATGAGGGAAACCTGGAGCTCTTGGGTGGGGACAAGGTTGGAAACCACAGGTTTAGATAGCAGAGGTCTTAGAAGGCACCAGTGACTCCATCCGCCCAAGACAAGTGGTCCGTGGAAAACATCTCCTGGCCTCCCTGTTGGGGAGGGACTGCTCCAGAAGAACCCTCTCAGTCCGCACACCCACTCTCCATCCCCTGGGCGTTGGCTTGCTCAATCATCTGGGATCACTTACATATTAATCATAGCATCTCCTAGTGGGCATCTGACCTTCAGCCACTGTGCTCCCCAAATTCGACCTGTGAACTTCAGCAGAAAGGACATCTGCTGTGGGGGAGATACCTCCTTGGAGATTTTTCCCTCATTAAACAAGAGAAAACCTCTTAAGTGGACATGGAGAGAAGATTCCACGCAGTTGCCTCAACAAAACAAAACGTGCCTTTGAATGTTCTATGCGGCAGTCTATTCCCTGGGCGTTTGTACAGATAGAGTTGACTGTAAGTGTGCAAATTTACTTACTCAAAAGAAAAGTCATCAAGTCTAAAAAGAAACAAAAATACTATTTAATAAAACAGGTACATACTAATTTGAATAATGTTTCAGGGCAATACCAATGTTCCTATAGAACTTTCAGAGACAACCTGCACTCACTCCTTCCACAAACATAATTAAGCAACTGAGGGCTTCCTCAGAGAGAGCCTCAGGCAAAGTCCTCTTTGAAACCACTGAGATTACATCCAGGGGCTTAGCCATCTTGCTCAAGGGAGCCAAGGAGGGCAAAGGAAAAGGGTGAAAGGCAGACCTTGGCTTTAAGGCTCTTCCTTTTCCCTTGATGTGGAACAGTTTGGGGAGGGGAGGGGGGATGGGGTGCCTCAGCAGGGCTGGAGGCTCCCTCCTGCTTGCAATCCAGGGGGAAGATAAAAGCAAAAACAAAACAAAACAAAAACAAACCCCACTGTGGGGCCACCTAGACTTGGATCTTTCATTTCCATCCCTTTCCACAAAGAGGACCCCTTCTTCCAGGAGGAACAGCAGTTGGCCCCTCGATGTGCAGGGAACGGACACCAAGAGTCCCAGAAGGCCTTACTGGTAGTCGGTAGAGCTGCCTTTCCGCTTGCGGTTGCAATCCATGCTGCCTGTGCCGAGGGGGCTGGAGAGCAGGTCGGTGGGGCCCGGGGACATGAAGTCACTGATTGTTGAAGAAATGTCCATTCTCTGGTCGGCCATTGGAGGTCTGGGACTGGTACAAGGAGGCACAAAGGTGATTTCTACACGTTCTCTCTGCCGCGGCGGAGGGCCAGGGTGGTCCCGCGGAGGGTTGGGGACTGGTCTACTGCACCAACACAGCTCCCCCAGGGCCAGCTGGGGCAGGGACGCAGCGGGCCGGAGAGGACGGTGGGCATGCTTTAGGAGTTAGCATAGATAATGCAGGTTAACCTGCTCACATATTTTTAAGATTTTATTTATTTGACAGAGAGAGAGCACAAGTAAGGGAAGCAGCAGAGGGAGGAGGAGAAGCAGACACCCTGCTGAGCAGGGAGCCCGATGCGGGGCTCGATCCCAGGACTCTGGGATCATGACCTGAGCCGAAGGCAGATGCTTAACCAACCGAGCCACGCAGGCGCCCCCTGCTCATATTTCTGATGAAGATCCAAAGTTCAGAGCAAGTGGCTAGCTTCTCCTGCATCCCCGTGCCAGGGCATGCAAGAACAACTCCAGAACTCAAGGGCTCTAGGACTTGGGGCCCAGGGCTCCTCCCATGGAGGGGACCAGATATTCTCTGACAGTTCTAATTTTATTTACTTCCAGTCCATAAAATAAATATGATTTACTGGTTATCTTTGTGTTTTTGTGACTTTTGTAAAAGTCATAGGAAAGCAGAAAATATCCTTTCTCAGACCATGGGTCCCTCCCAGCAGCCGGGAAAATATGGTCGCTGTCTATCAGTGGGCCACGCAAAGTCTGTCCTGCCTTCCCTGACTAGCCTTCACACCTGCCAGGAAAACCTGCATCAGGATATAAAGACATTGTAGACCAATTTGCAATACATTTTGAGAATTTATGTTTTATAAGTGTGGAGTCAGCCGGCCCAAGAAAAGAGGCTGCCAAGTACCTTGCAAGGGACTCCGACTCCAAACCAAGTTGAAGAGGGCCACGCACTGCCCACAGACGGGGTCCCAGCTCCACACCACGTGGCTGGGGCTGTCACTCCCTCTCTCTGGGCTCAAGTTTCTTCATCTGCAAAGCAAGAGGGGACTGTGAGTTCAGTTTCCTGATTACGGTTCTGCCCACAGATGAGTGCACCAGGGTTGGGTGTGGGCTAACTTTTCACTTTCACAACCACTGCCGGAGGGAGCATCTTTGTGGTCTAACTCCAGGCCCTGGAGCTATTATCGCTCAGTCTAAAATGTCTAAAAGCAGGACAAAAGGGAACACACATGGTATGTCTTGGTACGTTCTGGAACACCGTGCTGTCAAAGAGCTCCAATAATTTATATTCCCAACAAGAGCTCCTGTCAATCTGAAGGAAAGCACAAAACCCCACTGGTTTTTACTTGCATTTTTAAATGATTACGGATGCTGTCCCTATGTTTATAGGCGTTTCTCTGGTTTCCTTTGTGCCCACTCATGTCCTTCCTACCATATTTTCTTCAGTATGGATGGGCCTCCTAACTCATGTGCACCTGCGCACCTGAGCCTGGGGGGAGACAAGCACACAATGAACTGGCCACTCTCACTTTCCACCCACAACCTCTCACACCTCCAACACCAGCTCTGCCCGGTGATCCTTGACTCTCCTGCTCCATTTGCTCCGCGCCCCCCGCCCCCCCGGGACCAAGAATGTCACACCCTCTCTCTTCTCTGCAAGCCTCCGACAGCTCTCCACCCTCACTCTCGGCAGATACTTGGCTCTCTACCCCACTGAGTAAAGGAAGCACATCCACTGGCCCACCCAGACGCTGCTGGTTAGGAACCCCCGCCGCCGGCCGCTGCCACCCCCAACGGGTGGGCACTCCATCGTCTCTCGCTACTGAAGACCAGCACCCTGCAATTCTCTCCCTGCCGCTCATCCTGCACCGTCCACTTTCCCCACCCTACTGGATCACTCTCGTTTGGATACAAACAAACAACAACTCTCATTTCGGGGAAAAACCACATATTTTTTTGAACTCCATTCCCTTCTAGTCAGTACCCCATTTCTGTTTCCAATTCCTTTCCTCTTACTCAGTACAAGGCAACTCAAATCAGGCTTTTTGTCCCCATCATTCCAACAGAACAGCCCCTGTCAGGTTCCCTGGCCAGCTGCTCATTGCTAAATCCAGTGGCTGGTTCTCCATTCCCTCCTACTTGCGCCATTCCAACATCTGCTAGAGCTGATCTGTCCCTCCTGTCTCTTGGCTTTGGAGAGGCCACCTTCTCATTGTCCCCTTCTATCTCGGTGGCCACTCTTTCCATGCTGGTCTCTTTTGTGGGTTCGTCCCCCTCCCTCGCCTCCACATGAAAGTCCTGCAGATGTCCTCAGACTTCCTCTGTCTATAGCCACTCCCTAAGAGATCGGTCTAGCTCCGCTGCTTCCAATATGATCTAGGCTCTGAGAACTCCCAAACTTACACCTCCAGCCTGGACCACTCCTGAATTCCAAACTTAGAGGACCATTTCCCTGAGGTCTCCCTTTGGATATACAACAGAGACCTAACTGAAACATCAAACCAAACCCCTGGTTCTCCCCAAGCCAAGCCCCTTAGTGATGCTCACACTTCTGAACGCTCAGGCCCCAAACCTGTCATCCTGACTCCTTGCTTCCTTTTACAACCTGCACCCAATCCGTCAGAAAATCCCAGCAGCTCAACATTTGCAAAGACATCCAAATTTAACCACTTCTCTCCTTTCTCCTTCATATTTCTTCTCAAAGGTCACTTCGGCAGTGAAACTTCTCTGAATATCCATATACTGCAACCTCCCCCCAATCCACCCTAACCACCCCCCCCAACCTTGCTTCATTTTTTTTCCATGGCCCCTATCCATAATCAACTTATTTACTTCCTCTCCATTAGACTATAAGCATCAGAGGAGCAGGGATTTTGTTTAGTTAACTACTTGCACCCTAGTAGCCTACAACACTTTCTAGCATATAGTAAGTACTCAATAAACAGATGTTGAATGAATAAGTTTGCACATTATGAATATTCATTCCTTGTTTGTCACAGATGTCATAAATACCCACCCCCTTTTTGCCTTTTAACTTGGCTTGCAGTATTTGTATGTGATACTAAAAGTGACGTGTTTTAAAAAGCAGCCTTTTTCACCCCAAAATAGAAATATCCTCTTTACTAATATTTTTATAATTTTATTTGGCACTTAATCCATTTGGAAATAACTTTTGGTATACTACCTAAGGTTGGAGACTTCTTTCCGTCCAGTGGATAGATAACTGTGCCAACACCATTTACTAGACCAGACATTCCTTCACCAATCATTTGGAATGCCACCTTTATTGATTTACTGTCTATTTCTGGACTTCCTATTCTGTTCCTTTGATCTAGTTACTTCCAATCCAGTACCACACTATTTGTTATAGTGGCCTCATAATACATTCTACTATTAGGTAGAACAAAACCTTTTCCTCTTAAGACTTTTCATTTTCAGAAATTTCCTGGTTATTCCAATTACTCTTTGGGAAGCATTTTACAGTCATTTAATCACACCAAAGGCCCTGATGGGCAGTTGCTAGAAGTTATCATTATCACGGACATGAGGAGAAGTAGATGAGGGAGGAGTACAGAGTCCTTCCTTCAGGGTCTTGGTGAGCCTCTGGGCCGCCTGGCAGACATGGGGGGGCCACTTCTGGCCCCCACTCCCTCTTTATGAACAGCTAGACTGTTGCACGAGGTGGACTCTCCCCCAAGTTTTGGGCTGCAGGGAGAAACCACACTTCCTGAAAGAAATACCATGGAAGCTGCCCATGACAGTAGGTGGGGGCTGGGGTTGCGATTTTATTACCTGAAATTACAGTTCTTAAAGCTCAGATCCACCTTGGGAGGAGCAAGGGGCCACTGGACTTATGGGTCACCTCAAAGCGATTTTCATGTTTTGTCGTTTCCTTTCAGGCAGTCAACTTCTTCCAGAAACCTACAGCAGGGCCCACAAGAAAAGAAAACCCACACAGGTCACTTGGGGCGGGGGGTACGTGGAACAAGCTCCCGTCAGTGAGGGGAGAGGCTCAGCGGGCAGCCTCCAGCCGCCTGCTCAGCCAAACTGGGAACACGTGAAGCAATCTGGCAGGAGAGCTCTTCGAGGACAAACAATGCTTTTGAAATGATTAAACATGGATTCTTGGATGCGGCCTTACGGGAAAGAAGATAATTGGACTTTTCAGTTCTCCCACTGGGTCAGGCAATACAATTACTAGCGAACATTTATTGACTGTGTGCTGGGCGTCAGGCACCGTTCTGACGGTGTTATGTAGACTCACTTATTGAGGCCTGAAAATAATTCTCTGAGGTAGATACTCTGGTTTTTTTCACTGGTTGAGAAGACGGAGGCAGAGAGAGACTCAAGGAGGACACTCGCCAAGGTCACACGGCGGGAGGGCGCAGGGGCTCCAGAAGCCGCATCACCGCCAAGGACAGCCGCGCGCCCGCCCCACCGGCAGACAACCAGCGACCACGGCAAGCGAGCATCCAGGAGGCATTAGGCCGGACACATGTGCACAGGCCCATCTCTAAGACCGCTGGAAGCAAGGCAAGACGCTTAAAGACCCTGTCCGGGAAGCTCAAGCACAGTGCGGGCGCCCAAAGCGAAGGGGAGTCAGTGGTGAGAAGGCGCGCCCGAGTTAGCAGACGGCCTGCGGCCCTGCCTTCTCCTGCTGGCGGGGGCGGGGGCGGGGCGGGGCGGGGCGGCGGGGGGGGGGGTCTCCGCTCCGCCCTGTGGTCCCTGCATCTCCGAGGAACCGGCTCCACAGGCGGCTGCGCCTGCCCTCCTACCCCCTCCCGGCTCCACCTTGAGACGGCAAGACTCAGGCTGTGAATGGGCCTTTCCGGACCTTTCTGAAGTGAAACTCCTGGGCTTGCACCTTCCGCTGGCTACTTCTTGCAGCTCTCCGATTACCTGGGGCTTGATCGTGACAGAGGTCTTCAAATGCATGTCCAGGAACAGGGCTGCTCTTGTCCTCCTAAGTTACTCCCCTTTGCTGTCCGATTCAGACACCCTCGCCCTCTGACTCTGGGAGCCAGTCTGGACACGTGCAAAGAGCACGACGGGATCTTGGGCTTCCAGTCCCTAAGCCTCCGTGGAGCAGCCCCCGGACACCAGGTCCCCAGGGCAGTGCTGCTGGAGCGCTTACCGTATGCCCTTCCACCTCGGTCTGATTCCCCACCCAGGTCCCATGCTCCTCTCCAGCCCCCGGATGAGCAATCCGGGACCCACGTGGGCACCCTCTCCTCCCCTCACCCCACTAGCCTTCTGACGGGCAGCCCTAACTGCTCCCCTCTGTCCCCTGGCCACTGCCTCCATCCAGGCTGCTCTCCTCCCTACACTCGCCCCTCCACGCCCCGGTCACAGACAGGACACCCCCTTGTTTAAAACACTTCAGTGGCTTTACTGCTCTGCCCCGAGCCTTCCAGAAACGCCCTGCCAGGAAACATCAAACCTCCACAATGGGCTTGCTTGCTCGCTTCTTGTCCTGTCTTGCCCTGCTCTGCCCATCTGATGCCCAAAGCGCTAGGCCACCGGAATACTTAAGTTCTCAAGAGCACGTGGCCTCCACTGGGCCCATGCTGTTTTGCAGGTGTGGCTCCCTTGACCCACCTGGTGAACTCCTGCTTTCCTTTCAAGTGCTCTCAGGGAGCACCTGCTCAGAGAAGCCTCCTGCCTCTGCCCGTGCTGCTCTGGTCCTTCTCCTCACACCTGTGGCCCCTCCGCCCCGTGAGCTCACTGTTGGGGGGCTCCCAGTACCATACCTCACTCACTTTCCCCCACTTCTCCGAAACTTAGAAGAACCTTCTCCGTACCACACTCTATATACAATTTCTTACCTGGACCAATTGTTCCAATACTCAAATTTACTTTATAGAAATAATGAATGCTGGCATAAACTTTGTCATTATATTTTGCAAAATAAAAATCAGAAGGCCTTGCCTGGCTTTGAGCTCCCTGCTCGTGGGCAGTTTGCTCTCCCTCTTCCCCTCTCCCCGCTTGTGCTCTCCCTCTTGCTCACTCTCAAATAAATAAATAAAATCTTTAAAAAAAAATCAGAAGGCCTTTCTTATATGCTTAGACCAAGTAAGGAAGTTGAATCAGCTGTGACAAGTATTTCTGGAAAACTGTTTTCTCTCCAAGAAGGTGTTCTTAGATGTAAGACAATGAATGAAACAACAAAAGAGAGGAAAAAAAAAAAACCCTCTTTCTGTGCTATTTCCAAAAGAGAACTGAGCCCAGGGAGGGGGCTCCAAGAGACCACAGGTAACTGGGAGAGGGGTCCTTGCCAAGGGGAGCTCAGGGCCAGCCTTGGTGCTGCCATCCAAGTGACACAGAGTGAAGATTCTCTGGGGAGAGCCTGGCCTGTGGTTCTGGAATCGCAGGCCACATGTGTGCCCACTTCTGAGCTAGAGACTTCCAAAGCAGGGAGGCGGGGGGAGGCTCCCCGGATGTCAGAGGAAGCGAGGCACGAAGGGACTTGTGCAGTGTGCTTGGGGAGGACTTGGTGATCCCCCTGGTCCCCCCTCAGTCCCCTCATTCTCCTTGGAGCTCAGGGAGAAGAATCTCCGGGGCTCCACACAGAGGAGCGCGGGGGCTAGAAGAGACGTCCCAGCCCCGGCTGCCCCTGCAGAGACACCTTGGTAGGTGAGGGTGTCAACCACTATTAGGCACCCACAGCAGACACAGCTGCTCCTCTGAGCAGAGCGGGGTGAGACTGAGCAGCCCCTGAGAAACCCACACGTCATTTACAGGATGACCACACAGAAGACCACCAATCACAGATGGGCATCTCTCTCTGCTTTCCCTCCTCCCTGCCCCAGCACCCCAAAATGCTACAAGAAGGGAAGGGGGCGTGTAGATTGCTTTGCGGTTCACACTCTTAGCTGCCCCTCCCCGCAAGGACAGCCTGCAGGATGCCCCAGGCTCGGGCCCGGCCATGTGACTGGCTTGGACTGATGAATGTGAGCGGAAGGGACAGTCCCAACTCTTGAACAGAACTTTTACCACGAGTTCCTTTGTCTGTGCCGAGACTGGCAATTTCCTGGATAGATGCTCCTCCTTTTGCTGAGGTCCCGGCTGGATAGCAGCACGAGAAGAAATAAACCTTTGCTCCTGTCAGCTACTGAGATGGTGATGGTGTGTATTCTAGGGTGACTGACTCTTCTGTCTGCCCCAGAACTTCCCACTTCAGCACTGGAAATCCTGCCTCCCAGAAAACCCCTTTGTCCCAGACAAAGCAGGCCAGTCGGTGACCTAGTGGCTCTGGCCGTATCTATCCCTCATCCAGAGCTGACTGACACAGGCAAGATGAAGAACGCACAGATGGGGTGAAGGAACCACAGATGGAGGAGCCCCTGATCTAGGAAGAGGGAAAGGGGGCAGAGGTGTTCCCACCGGACTCGTTTTAGCTTCACGATAACCCGTATCCCTTAATTGTGCTCACCATCCCAGTTTTCCATGTAAGGATTGAGGAGGCAAAGCTGTCTTGCTCAAGATGGCCCAGCTAGCAAGTGGGGACTGCAACCCAAGTGTGCCTGGCCCCATATTGGTTCTTCTGACTACCACACCACTGCCAGTCCTGCCTCCAAGACCACCCCCACAAAGTAAAATATAACGCCCCCCAAAACAAGCCTTCCTGGGGAAGGCATGAGGGGAAAGAAGAAAAAAGCAATCCTAGTTCAGGAGAGCCACAGAACCTGAACCACGTTGTCTCCGGGCTTCCTGGCACGCAGGGCGGAGAAGGAAATGTTCAGCCCTCACACTCGCCGGGAAGCATATCCTATCACTTCACGGGGACAGACCGAGCAGGGAGGCTCTCTCAATGGGACCTGAGCGATGTGCTGCCGAATGGCTCTGGGGAAACCAGCCCTGTGAAAGAATAGAGTGCTTCCCCTTTTAAAATGGGACCTCAGTGAAAAGCTGCCCCCCTCTTGCCCCTCCCCTCAGGTGTGCCAGCTTTTGAAGCCCCAGGATGTCACTGGGACAGTGACTGTTGATGATGGTAGCTTAATAAAAGGGCACGGTTTGGAAAATATGGAGGCTCGTGAGTGGGCATCCTTGATTACCCTGTCTACTAGCTGTCTGCTTACTGATCTGCTTCCCCCCAGCCCCAAACTCCCCAGTAAGGGCTCCTGTGTGGCCACTGCTGCATCCCACTAGCCCTGGGCACAGATGTGTTCCAGAAGTACTTTCCCTCCCCAGCCCCGAGAGCCATGGCAGGTGGCCCTTGGCCCCCCCTCCTCCACATTCTCCACTATGTGGTGCTGGTGCCCGGCTCCAGATTTACTGAGGGAATGGAGGAGGACTTGCTCTGGTCTGTTCAGGTGGTGGTGGTCTTCAAGCAGAGGCAAGAGGCTAGAGGGGCTCTGTCTCCTCGGCAAGTCCACCTTGGCCCGCCATGGTTACTCTGACTGCCTCTGGGGAGTTCAGCTGCCTTGCTTTGCAACAGATGCATTTAGAGAATGTTCACCCAGGGAAACCAGATGCCCTGCACCTAGGGTAACAGGTGTTTGCATCGGGATCATTCAGCAAGCGTTTCTCTAGCCTCTGGGGCACTGGGGACACAGGGAGGAATCCGCAGTCCTAATGTTCAAGATTCCCTCAACCTAGTTGGAGAGACAGGGTCTAAATCCAGACGTGACAGCATGCTCACTGCCATAGGCAGGGCCGTGCTTACAGTGGCGTGAGCTGTGCCTTGCACAGGATGCGCCTCGGCTTTTGCTAAATGGCAGAGATTTGTGGAGCCATTCCGACAAATTCCCAGCAGGTGGCAGTCAAGTGTTTCGAGGAAGGAGGGCCTTTCTTGGCTATGAAGCATAGGTAAGGTACAGGAGCAGCGTGGAGGAGAAAATCATGAGCTTATTGATAAGCTGGTGTGTGTGTGATAGGGGTAAGGGGAGGAGAAAGAGCGAGCGAGGCGGTGAGGCTTGAAG